GAAGCGCAATGGTAGCTTAGCAGTTAGCACTGCAGGATCACACATGGGGAAGTTAGGTAAACTGGTGAGTATTAATTGTTGTTTGTGCGTAAGTGTGTGCCAGACAAGGAAGTACAGAAGCCTACAAGAAGCAATACAGTGTGCATGCTACCTGCAAAAAGCGTATTCATCGTTGACGTTGCAAATGAAATATATCCTTTCCTACACTTTTTCGGCTTACAGAGGTAGCTAAGAAAATTAGGCCAATCGTTACTGATGAACAAATGATGTGACTTAATGCCCCCAAAGGCAAAGTTAAATATAGCAGGATGCTGGCGCTGTCCCTTCATCTGCCAAATGACAGAGCCTCACCCACGAGCACCAGGCATGGGGGCTGAAAGCCCCCCCCCAGAAATATATTTGACACTCCCAGTCCTCATCCTCCGTAGCTTGACGTTAATGAAGGTACCTTTAAGCGATTCCGAACCATTGTTAGAACAATTAATTAATTAAATGGGATTAATTAGGCACTTGACTGTCTGGCTATAGGATTGGTAACACGGTACACAAACCAGCACATACTCCACTAAAGTGAAAGACTGATAGTCGCTCCTTTACTCCTTTACTTTATCATAGTGGACTGATAAAGTAACTCTGAATCACTGCATACTTCAGAAGCAGTTTCAATCACTGCCACTAGGTGGAGGGGCAATTCTTTCTCTTTATTAGAGTATATGCTGGTTTGTGTGATGTATGTGCCCAAGACTAAACTGCCTACATGAATAATCGATTGCTTGTTAATGTAGTATTTTTCATTACTAGAATTTTAGTAATTTCAGAATTGTTATTACCATACTTTGCACGCTACAGAGGCAACAAATGGGATTTTTTTTAAAAAAACTAATAATTCTAAACCATAATCAAAATATTTATACATTCATCAGGTGTAAAGGAGTGTACAGGCCAAACATGTACCAATGTTTTATAGTTAATTGAACAACCAATGATGCAATATTTATTTAAATATCCATAATATTTATTTATTTAAAAAGTGTACCCATAACTACCAACTGCACACAAAAAAAAACCAAAATGACATGATAACAAGGGCATTTTAAAGCTTCAAGACAAGCCGCGCACATGACATGCAGATGAAGGCACAAACAAAGGTGCCAAATAAACCCCCCCCCGCCCCCCCACTGTGCCCAACCACATGTCAATTTCCCTGCAGATTGTTCCAAGCGCAGCCTTTCATCTTGCTTATTGATCTCCCGGTTAATTGAAACACGAATCATTGAATCTAATTAGTTCGAAAGATAGACTGTATCCAGGATACAGTGATACCACCTCGAAACACTCAAAGAAAAATGGTTTGGAATGAAAGGTCAGACACGAAAAGTAATTATTTTCCATTTATTAAAGTGATGTAAGTGTCGCCAAGTGAATCTGTAGAACATGGCTGTGGAATGAGGTTTAAATCATTCGCAAAAAATGTGCGATGCTTATAAAGCCTTCTAAAGATCCATTATATTTTAACAGAATTTAAATTAAAGGCTATTGGGGCTGTGTATATGTTGGTTCTCTGTAATGAGCAATACTCACATTTAACTCACAAATCTTGTGCCCTCAACAGCATTCCAGTGTCCTGGAGAATGACTACTTTAGCTCCATATCAGTAACTATCACTCAGTTTCAGCACTTATGAGATTTTTTTTAAGGTTTACAAGCTTCTCCCAACACTTTCTCAACAATGCAAGCCGAGAGCAGATTGAACAAATTGAGTCAATAATGACTGTCTTCTTGTTAAGAACACAACACGGAACACCTAAGAGGCCGTTTGGGGAAGATTAACTCATCGATTTGGTTTTTATGCAATAAAACCATAGAAAATTAATTGGAAAAAGTCATTTAATAAAAAGAATCTCAAAATAAAAAACTGGCACAGCAGGATGACTTGGGCACCATGAAGCATTAACATTTTTCATTAATTCTGACACATGCTGCAGTGACTGTCTCTTCTCAACAAAATAAATGGGAAGATGAGCAAGAGAATGAAAGCGGTAATGCTAATGTTCTCCACTAATGTGGCTAATAAAGGGTGACAGATCTGGGCTAGGGCTACACTCCACAGCTGTCCCCAGATCAGGCCATGGTGCCCCCTGGTGTACCCAGCAACCACCCCCTCTTGATACAGGAGGGTGAGGGCCCAGTTTCTGGAGACGCAAACAAGGGCTGCCTCTAATTAACAAAGACAGCTGTGCCTAGCACTGCTAGCATTGCGTGGCAACGCAGAAAGCTGGACACTGTCCAATGGGGGGTTTCGGGTAATTAAAGATCACAAAGCTTCCTGGTAAGTCAGCTCCAAAGTGATTGGTGATGACATCCACTGTCCTGCGGGGGCAGCGTTCTTCCACACCGAACCAATCAAGCACAGCCATGCAAGGGTCATTTGAGTCCTAAATTTGCAGTAAATAATAAGGGCTAAAACACACGGGACACATGCCAGCATGCTGCTGTGATCTGCCCAACTTATTTCATTACGGCGTTTGATGAGGGCAAAGCAGAATCATGTTCAAACCAAATAGTTGTGTCGTGCGGCCAAAGTGTATGGATCATTGTGGAATGTTCTGTATGCGAGTCATATTTACGACGTGAGAATCACCCTTCAATTCCCAGAAAAAACTTTGCAACAATACGCATAACTCTATAAACCAGTTAGCATCAACTGGCTATTGTCTTGAATAAAATGGCCAAAACAGCTAGGATAATATTAAGGTCTTTCTTCATCAAATGATATTACTTGCCTCCAACTCTACGCTGTTAAATCTCTGCTGGTCCACCTTAAGCCAGCATACACCCACTACTTAACACTACAGTACGCCATTCCTGTTTGGCTCCACCAAATCCTATACATGCAAAGCCTTCTGCATTGTTCTTTTCCAGTAGGCACACCAACCAATGTTGGAAAGCAAAAACAACTGTGTGGTTTCTAACAGGTCTGCACTGGCCGAGTTGCCACATATTTAATTGGGCAATCCCGATTCAAATCACAGCAGTGACGTCACTACCGCTGACACTGAGGACACCTGGCTGCAAGGTGCCGCTTAACCTCTGTCGGCAAGTCAGACGACAAGCTAGGAAACAAGGAGCTGTTGACTCTCCATCTAAAACGACAGCTACAAGTGAGTGTCTGAATATACTTAAGCAGCTCATTTCCAGACAATGAGCAGGAGCAGCACTGAACCAAACACGGGGGCAGTGTGTGATCAGAATGTTGCAGGTTTGAATCCCTGGGTGAGCATAGTGATTTCACCATTGGGTCCCTAAGCAACGCCCTTAGCCGCAGATATCTCCAGGGACTGTCTGACGATAGCTTCTCAAAATAAAAAGAAGTTCACCTCTCTCACAAGAAGGATGAACCCTGAACCATTCCCAAAATGGCATCCATCCGTCCATCAGAGCTGTGACATTGTGCAAGAGTAGCCACACAACTTGCTGGAAGGGAAGGGACACTGAATGCTAACACAGCACTTTAAAGTGAGACTTTATCATCAGTCTTTATTACTTTATTGTTGTTTTGCTACAAAGTGCTATAAAAATATAACTCCTAGAGACTCCGCTTTCACACTGGAATCTGGGATTCACTTAATATATTTGTAACTACTGGCTTTCATATTGCTCAGTATGGAAAATAAGATAAGACTGTAATGCCCGTTTTCCCAGTGGGGATCCTCAGTATTGCCTTGCTTTTCACCTCTTCCCTTTCACTGAGCTCAGAAAGTAAATCCACTTATGGTAACGCTGTTTACTTCAGCACGAACACCCCTGCATCCAGTCTTTTAAAAATCCTTTTAAACTGGAGATCTCCTGCAGTTGCATTTTGGCTCAGAGGTGTTGCAGTGAGGAAACAACATGGCATTTTTTAAATGACTGCTTCCCCCACGATAATGCCGGAGAAACTCACTCCTGCTAAACCTGTCAATAATCAACATGAACTACATCTTGAACAATCTTGCCTAGGAAACACACTTTTTTTTTTTCATTCCACACATTCAGGTACTTAACTAATGTAGTATTTCTCTTTATATGAAGCATGGGCTGTCAAATCCAGTAAAGTCACAAAAAAAAATCACAGTCCAAGGATGATTTAGATTTCAGTACTGAACATGCTGGCATAGACAAAATTTCAACTGGATCTATCAAGTGGTTTCAGAAATAAACATTTTTACATGTTGTACCGCCCCCTATAGATAAAATGCTGCCAGTTTTAGGTTTCCACCCCATAAGGCCCTGCTACACTTGCACACATTCTCAAATTAAAGCTGTTCATGTAAAACAAAGTACAGTGAGGGAACGATTTGGGCATGGTTAGCAGCCATTTTGTTTACAAAGTTAAGAATTTTAAAATAATTATCATGTCAAAGATCATTTTAATAATGTAAAAGCTTAGCTGCCAAAATTACATTTATCCAGACTGGACAATAAAACCCCGGACAAGTTAACAAAAACAGGTTATGCTAATTATTTAAAATAGCTAAAGCCGGTAGCAGCAGGTTTGACGGCTGACAGGCCGCAAGGAGGGGGGCGGCTGCACCGTCGTGGTGGGGGGACACGGTGATGCAGTGCCAACCCACCGCAGGACCGGGGACGAGGTGTAAGGGGCTAAATCTCTGACAGAACTGGCGTGTGACTTCAATCGTCGTTTTAGGGACACTTAAGGAACACTTGTTCCATGCCCACTATACATGCTGCTGCCACCATTCGTTTCAGCCCCAGCCTCTATTACCCACCAGTGACACGACGGTGTCATTTTAGTATTCATCTTGCCCAGTAAGACAGAGATCTGACTATATATGTGCTTGCCCGTGATACTGTTCCTGAATCAGTGGAGGCTGGTTTAACCTCGCTCGTGCACAGAAGTGAAACTTTCTGCAGATGCAGGTGCACATGGACGGATCAGACATGTATTCCTAGGCGCGCACTCCTGCTTCTACGCGATCAAATCACCAAAGGTACCCGAATTAAATCGTTAACTGTTAAGCAGCATAAGCCGCACTTCTTAAAGAGTTAATAATTGATGGAAATAACATCTTACTTAATGGGATAGCCAGATTGTTGTCGACTTCGCCAAAGTGCACGGAGCAAAGGTTATGCTTTTGGAGATCGACAAACAAGCCACTATAAATAAACGTAATAGGCGGACCGATTCGAATCGATCGAAGTCGGTTCCTATAAAATAAATAAACCGATCGCCGGCTCTGTCCGACTTCCTGGGACAATGGGAAACTTCAGATAAGGAAGTTGCCTCCACCATTATTACCCTAACCAACCGGTTTCATACATAGGGTACAGCGTGGAGAACAAAAACTTCCTGTATTTAGCTCAGTACACACCTTGAAGAGGCATGGCAAGAATGGCTGATCTTCCTCGTAACGGGAGCCTAACATTTCAAACAAGCCAGGACCACTCGAAAAGTACCACTTCGAAAAATGGATTCCACAGGAGCTGTCAGGTAATCTCATTTCATATATTTTGGAGTAAAAACAAGTCTGTTAGGAAGATCCGGTGATAGGGAACTAATTGCCTATCATTTTACATGCACGGGGATGTTACGTTTGTGCAATTACACGACAGTGTGACTATCACGGAGTTAAGTGTGCGATTAAAATGTAAAGACGCGAGCTGGAGACACATTATCCGCAGCGAAAATAATTAAATGTGCTGTATAATTAACTTAGTGCGCGCGATGATTTAGTCAGAAGGGTTGGTCTGCCCGTACGCGAGGCTCCGCGACTGGAGTTACACCCCCCCCCTTTATTCCGGCATCCTGCTGAACCGAAGGTAACCCAGCTCGCCGGCTACCTCGGGGCGATACGCTGGAAGCCGCTGCGCCTCCGCCGTGGATCTTATCATCAAAGTACGAGCCCAGTGTCCAGATTGCGTTGCAACTATGAGGAAAATGCTATCTGTTAACCCCGCAAAAGGCGCGTCTCTGCAAGAAACACACATACATCCTTGTTCCCATTTATCAATGTTACTGCCAGTCCGAAAGCGAAATTATCAGTTTCGTCTGCTCTTGTCTATGTACTAAACTATGTAGTTTACTCCACGTACTGTATATAAAGATTTGCAGGTGTGAAGTGTGACGTAAAGGGGCCAAATGCATTGAGTTACTCCTCTGCCTTTAAAACCGGGAAGAGGAAATTCGTTTTTGGTGTATCACACGTGAGCAGAAAATGTCATGCTAGCGGGGAGTTTTTAATAGCGTAAATGATAATAATATATGTAGTAAATCTGTGTAATGACTCTGGACAGTAGGGTTGTGTGGCGGCACAAAAATCGTATTAAATTCTCGATTAACATTTAAGCTGTGCGAGGAAATTAGTCCGAAGTTTTATTTTTTAATTTTATTTTCCGTATATCAGCACTTGCTATTTTAGTCACAAAAAGAATTTTGCACATTTAGTAGGCATACAGAGCCAAACAGATGTTCGGTTTTTCTGACAGCAGCAATGGATAGATAGAAGTCAAAGACAGATAAAAACAAACAGATTGGCAGCATCATGCGTATGAATATGGTGTGACATGTTCTGCCAGTCGATACCTGTTCTACAGGAATTTGAGTCTCATTTTTGCACTTAGGATTCCACCCCCATTATTACTTAGAAACAGCTGTACCGTGGCTTGATAGTAATGTAGGATAAACATCCCGTGCTGCTGAAATCACCTGTTAACTGTCACCTATCAGTTCCACGGGAAGCGGAGCATCATCGTTCAGGAATGAACCCTTCAGATCATGGAGAAGATATTTCAACAATGGATGCTGTGCAAGTGAAATTTAGCCAGCTGTGAGCTGAAACAACATGCCAGTTGACTATCCTTTAATGTCATATTTGAACCCCTTTGCACATGAATCTAGAACCCTACCGATTCCACTTTCTGCCACCTGACTGTGTGTGGGTTATGGTTCTGTGCCTCTGATTACAAGGTCACCAGTTCATTGACAGGCATTGACGTCACCCTTGGGCCCTAAAGCACAGGAGGCTATAACTTTACTAATTGCTCCACAGACACTGTCAGCTCTTCACTTATACATCAATTCGGATAAAAGTTTTTGATAAATAAATGTAAACTGCAGGGGAATTGGCAAGAACGTGTGCTAGTGCCATTCTACATGTGATGATTAGTGGTCATGGTTAAATGAAATAGTAGTTCACTTATTAATGTGTTTATTTATTTACTTTAGGAGAATGGAATATCAAATGGAGTCCACCACAGATCGAGGGTCACTGAGGGCTTTGAACAGCCCCCAATGTACGTCGCTGTCTTCACATACCTGGGGTTCGGAATCGTGACCCTCTTCGGCTATCTTCGGGACTTCATGAGAGCAGTCGGCCTCGAGAAATGTCACGTTGCCCAAGAAAGGGAAGAGCAGAAGGTCAGCTGGATAAGTCGGCCCACTGGGTAGCCCATCTCCCTGGCGGATTTCGCGAAGTAAAACCATCTTTGTCAATTATGTTTTGGGGGGGGGGGGGGAGCAAAATCACTTCAGGTATTCAAATGGTTGTCTCTCAGAGGCACTGGTTCGATCTGCCTTAGTGCTTGAGATGAAAGCCGTTTGAGGGGGGGAAAAAAAAACAGAAAAACCAGGGTAAACAGGGTGCAGACGTAATTAATACCCAGTGGATTTCAGATTGTTGTGTTGGGCTGACTGACTGATTTCTCCTGATCCTGCAAACACTTCTTTGAGACTGTCTCTTCGGGTTGCATTCAAGGTGGGAGGCTTATGTTGGAAACAGAATAGACTTGCAACTAATTATAATGCAAAAAAGATACAGATTAAAGGGATATTAGATCTACTTTAAATAGAATTGGGGGAAAAAAATCTCCTTTGGAACTTGCCCTTGTGGAACAATGCAAAACACAGTACCCTTTCGCTGTACTTCAATTACCCAAGCTCTCAAACTGTTTAGGTTGTTATTTTTTCTTCGATATCTTGTAACTGAGGTCAGACTGGCGCATTTATCAGAGTGCAATCATCCTGCAAACAATCCAGAAGTAGACCCATAAAATGGTTACAAAATGTGCTTAATGTGAACTGGGAGCAATGGTGCCTTTTTGAAACCAAGTTGGAGAGAGCCGCTCGATGTATCACAAAAATATTTTTGGCTAATTGACTCTGGTTTGTGTCTGCATGCTACAGCTTACCGTGCATTATTGGGCCTGTTAGCATTATTGTATGCTAACAGATTTTTATGATAATTAAAAGGCATTTATTATTGATCTGTGTACAGGACTTTGTTCCTCTTTATCAAGACTTTGAAAACTTCTACACACGGAACCTGTACATGAGGGTTCGGGACAACTGGAACCGTCCCATATGCAGCCTGCCAGGCCCAGAATTCGATCTGATGGAGAGGGTCACGGATGACTATAACTGGACCTTCAGGTAACATTTTAGGGCCAAATCCACACATCTTTTATAGAGCAGACAGCATTTCCCTGTGGGGCGTTTGGTGAATGAAATTCGGAAGTGCTGCGATGTGGTCCCCAACTCCCTAAATTTGCGTACTTTGCAGGCTTACCGGAAAAACGATACATGGTGTCATCAACATGGGTTCCTACAACTATTTGGGCTTTGCAGAGAACAACGCCGACTTCCTGAAAACGGTGGCAGAGACCACTATGGATTATGGGCTTGGGGTCTGCAGCACCCGTCAGGAAATGGGTGAGTGCCCAGCTGTCCTGATCAGTGTATCTTTTTCCCCATCCAAAGTACTTTAGAAGTACTTGAAAGCTCAAATTAGCATCTTACGTTAGCAGAGTTTCATAGGCTCTGCCAGCCCGGGCCTTCGCAGCTAGCTAAATCTGACCCTTTTGATCTAACATGCTTGTTCCAGAAATCGTACCATGCCAAGTTCCGTGCCTCAGTGCAAATGCATTATAATATCTGGATTTTTTTCAGAAAGAAATAGTACATCTTACCTTTTTTTTTCTAATTCCTACCATTCGTAATAAGATAGGAAAATATGGTCAGTAATGTCTTCGCACACTGCAAACACCTCTACGTTATGTAGCTTAAACTCTCAGCTGGATTCCCTAAGAGTCGGCTGCACAGGTATCGGGTAAAGAGCAGTCTGACGATGAGAGATTGCAAAAAGAAAATGCAGAAGAATATGAGAATATGCTATTCTGGGAAGAAGAGCATGAATCTGACACCTTTCACACACCAGTCACCGCACTACTCACCCTGGAGTATCCAGTAGCATCCTAGCCAGTACTCCCTTGCAGGCACTTTCACAAGACGACGTTACAGATGGTTTGCATCGAGCCAGTGTTGAGTACAGACTGTCATCTCTCCTCAGTGACAATGCTGATGGGAAAGTTGAGCAAGAGCTAGAAACCAGCTATTAATGGCCCAGAGCCTTTTGATATAAGACTCCGTCTCTGCCTGCTTAAAAACATACATCGGAATTTCATGCCTACAAATCAGAGAATCATGTAGGGGGAGGGTTTCTGTAACCCACTTGGGTCCAAGAAAGTTCGGTCGGAGGCTGAGTGGCGCTTATTTTCCTCCCAGAAGATGCGATATTAATTCAGACCAGCTAGGATATGTGTCGCTGGCAGAAGCAGGCAAGCCTCGACTCTGCATTTGTTCCCGAGTCTTTGTGGCAGTTGCACTCAGTGCCGTTCTAATCGACGCTCCAGAACATGTGACGACAGACGGCCCGTTCGGGAATTAGAAACGTGTGGCGAAAACAGGGCATCCCCATCAGGCAGTGCTCAGCGCGTGCTCATCCCGAACTCAAACGGAATTCGTTAATGCGAAATAATGTTTCTGACGGTCATGCTCGGCTCGTTAGAACGTTCGGAGTTGGGACGAGCCCCGGGGATGAGGTTCCTCTTTAGCCTCGAACTGATATCAAATGCACAAGCCAGATTTCTTGCCTTGCGGTAGGCACAGAACGTGCATGAAATTGCTTCAGAGGCGCAGGTGAAGTTCCGGACAGATCGAGAAACGGATTCGTTAGTCACACAAATATGAAAGGACAGATCTACCTGTTTCATTTATTTGTCTCACTGTTTTTCTATTAATTTATTCCAGACAGCTTTACTTCCCATTTGCCATGTAGTGTTTTTCCTGCAGTTCAGCAGGAAAAGAGGAATGACACGCCACGGATCCACCTCTCCTGGGACCTTATTAAGCCACAATTATTTATGGAGCCGGAGCAGGAATTTAAAGGGTGAATTCAGAAACTCCCCGCGGCTCGACGTGTGCCGCGCCTTGCACGTTTGCGTGTGTGCTTTCACCGCCTCGTTATTGTAGCCCGCCTCTGAGAGTTCAGTCAGGCAAGGCCGGAATAAGGGTAGTGACCTTTAACAGAATTGGCCCAGCTTGTCCTGGGTGTGTCTCTGTGTGGAGAGCCCGTTGTGTCAGTCATTCACAGAGATGAAGTCATTATGTAGCAATTCCCCCCCTCCCCCCCTCAAGTAATGATTACCCAACTGAACAAGATAAAGAAGAACAGTAATGTTTAACTGACCAGTAAATATATGAAGAATCGTGTGCTCTTTAATGTCGTACCACAATGGTCGTCTTGGCACCGAAATCTTGACTGAGAATAGGCAAGTGTACTGTCCATCAGATTTGATTTGCCTTTTGTGATTGAGTCTGGACTGATCGTTCCTCATGAGTTTTTAATTATAGAGAGTTATTCAGCAAACTAAAATGGAGAGAAAAGTCAATCTTTAGCTGGCGTTTGGGGCTGTTTTAAGCTCCTAGCTGGCAGTAAGAGACACGCGTTTTGTTTACTCTGTGAAGGTTCACCTGTCGCTTTCCTGTTGCCGTCCCAGTCCCGCGTGCAGCCGTTCCACTTCCTTATAGCCACCTTGAGCCTCCATCTTTACTTTGACGTGTTGGGTGAATCCTTTAAGGAAGTGAATAGTGGGGACCTTTCTCAGATTTAGCTGCCGCTGGGTTCATTTCCATCTTTAACACTGTGTTACACTTGCTTGCAGTTTTAAGTTTTAGCGGTTAAAGGACGTTTTCTCTGCTTCCTCTAATTTTATGAGTTTCTCCTTTTTGTCAGTTTCTGCAAACCCGTGATGCTCTATCATCTGGAAATCTGGGGTCATCGGCACTAGTTTTGCTTTGTTCTTGGTGGATCGACTGATTTCGACCGAGCACCTTATTCCTGAGTGAAATAGTGTCCTTATTCTGTGCTGAAAATTTCAGTGTAATACAGTTAACTAATACCACGGTTACCCCAAACTTATGTCTTTTCATTTGGTTTCTTATTAGCTGGAGGAAGCAGACCTGCAGTGATCTCTATGTTTACTTGCTATCGCTTTTGGTTTTAGGGAGAAAATAGAAGGAAAGGAAAAAAAAAAAACCGGATCAGATTAAACTTGGTTCAGGAAATAATGAAATGCTGATTCACTCCGGTCAATTAACCACGTCTTCCCTGGGGGGGTTCTAGGGGTGGTGTACCTGTCAAAAGTAACCGCAGCCGTAAAGATGAAAATGTTGCTCATTGACGTGTGTCAAGCCGTGCTTAGTGCAGTAATGCAGGGGATTCCTGTCTGCATGCTGACGCAGGAGTTTAAAAAAAAAAAAAAAACTGCCAACAACCACATCAGTGGCATTGAGAAAAAGAAAGATTGCCGAACGACCTCAATTAGGGAAATAAATAATTCAGTGCAGCATTTAAGTAAAATGAAGCCGTAGTGACTGCAGTGATACTCACTGCTGCTGATGTCATGGTGACGGTTTGTAAACGCAGTGTCCCATTATCGTCTGGGGCATGTGTAGATCATACTGGTGCACTGGCTGGAAAGTAGTAATCGGTACTGGGGAATGCTTAACTTTAACTGGGAGGAGGAACATCGCGTGCCGTGTTTGTAAACACCATAGAATGCAACCAAAAGTGCAGTTGAAGCGTGAAGCTTTGGAACACGTGTGAGAATGCCATCAAGCCCCTTTACATTTTTTATTTGTTTAGGAGGCATTTCTACCCCCCCCCCCTCCCCAAAACAAAACGAAGTACTCAACTTTCAGCTTTAAAGCTGATATCCAGTACTGCTTAACCCTTGACACGGACCCCCCTCCCAGAGTTCTACCTTCGGAGGGGGCGCTGACCAGTTTGTCTCCGATGATTTGCACTACATTGGGGGGGCACCAGTGGTAGTTTGAAGGGGGTGGGGGGAACCACTGCATCGGTTTTAACTGGCACTGCTTATAACCCATCCGCACTCATGCACTCTATCTCTGTTTTATTAAGTGCTTCTGTGTGGTACCAGATAGGGCCCCCTTTAGTCTCCAGAACCACCTTAAGGATTGCTGAGTTGTGCATTCGGCCTTTCTGCCAACCTTAGTGAGTCTGGCCGTTCTCCCCTGACCTGTTTCATCTACGACATGTTTTTGACTGGGTCTCTTTCACTCATTACACGTTCGCAGTAAACGGTAGACACTGTAGTGCATGAAAATCCCACGAGGGCGGCTGTTTCTGAGATGCTGGAACCACCAAGTCTGGTCCCAGCATTTGAAATCATGTTCAGTGCTTAGCCGTGAAGTAAGGGAGCCTCTTGACCTGTCACTGCGGTGTTTAAACTCAGGTGCAGGAGCTGTTTGTAGGCGCTGCCTGTTTGCACTAACAAAAGCGTATCTTAAAAAAGTGGCAACTGAGTATATCGTCATTATGCAATGAAAATCGCATATGTACACTTTTTGGGTTTTTACTGTAGAAGGAGTGTGTTCATTATCTTCTGTCTACTGATAGCAATTGACATGTATTTGACCAACGAAAAGATGTTTTATTTAAGTAGTATTTCTGTTGGTACTAATTAAAGTATGTTGGTCGTTTGTATGGATTATTTCGCTAACTTAATGTTGATAGCTAGCTATCATGATTGTTAAGTGTGAATATACAGCCAGATGACTCTGTGTCACATTTGCCTCGCTGACAACAATCCACGTAAGTTAATTAAAAACATTACACCGTTCATTGGAGGCTGTGTAAAGGTTTCTGTATGTGGTACTAAGGATCTTATGTTGTTTTAGGTTTATTTTGTAAAGTAGTTTCTGAGAAAATGCGTTGGTTTTTTTTGACGCTTCTGAAATAATGGATTTTTGGAGATATGTGGTTTTCATTGGACATTGACAGTACATGAGCTCCTTTGGGTAGTAATTCAGACACAACAGAACCAGTCCCTGGATTCATCGCACAGGGATTTCCACCCTGAACTAACCCTGTGGTTACCCTGTAGCTGCTACGTGTGATCGGCTCTGCTTCCCGCCACTGCAGGTAACATGGACATCCACCAGGAACTGGAGGAGCTCGTGGCCATGTTCCTTGGGACCGAGTCCGCAGTGAGCTTCGGAATGGGCTTTGCCACCAACTCCATGAACATCCCAGCATTAGTGAGCAAGGTGAGATTTTATTAAAGTCATTTCAAGGTTTTTCCTCTTTACAGCTGTGCTTTGATACGTGCAGCTGTGGAAAAAATTAAGAGTTCACAACAAATTTTTCGATTCCACTCATCTCTCAATTTACGGGTATGTGTCTGTGTAAAATATGCATTTTTTTGCAAACTCCAGCCCGGGTCTTCCTTGCTTCTCGTTGATGAAGGGCTTCTTCCTTGCTTTACGGGTCTTCAGTCCTGCTTCTAGGAGCCTGTTATGAATTATCCTAGCAATGCACTTCAAACCAATTAATGTTTGGCCTTCGTTTTGAAGGTCACTTGAGGTCATCCTCCGATTTATGAGGCACTGCCGGATAAGTTGATGGTCTCGTGTCCTGTTTTTCTTTTTTCTGACATCGATCGCTGAAGGTAGATCCTGCGGGTTTGGCTCTGTTGGCTCTGCCGTAGAATTTTGACAGAGCGTCATGGCGTCAATAGTAATTAAGTGTATGTACTTTACATTAAAATATTCATTTTTCTTCGGAGAGTGGGGAGCAGGACTGCTGGTGACCGATGTTTTCCCTGCTGCTCTCTTCCCGAACTGTGCACTGTTGACTTTACCTATCACACTTACAGCATCTGTTATGGGAGGTAATGGGACTAGACAGAGCATAGGGGGGGGGGGGGGGTCAGCCAGTGGCCAGAGGATAAATCCTAGGCTACAGTGGGTGCAGCTAATGAAGGGTCACCTCGCCGCAGACCGGGGTCTCATCTCCCGACGAAAGGCACGCCACACATCGAGGGTCTGCATGTTGAACTCCCCCATGGGCTGCAGCCTGTCATATATAATGCACTGTGACATCAGTAGGGACCAGAGACTGCAGTACAGCCCCTTGCTGGTGGGGATGTGGTCCGAGCCCCCAGAGTTCTGAGTTCTGACCCTCACAGTGGGCCGTAAACACACGAACAACAGCAGCTGCGGGCAGGCGTGGAGCGACCCCTCTGGTCGTGACCGCACGGAGTCTTTGATGCTGCTGTTCCCCGCCTCTGTCGTTCTAGGGCTGTCTGATCCTGAGTGACGAGCTGAACCACACTTCCCTCATACTGGGGTCCAGGCTGTCGGGGGCCACAATCCGCGTTTTCAAGCACAACAGTGAGTAGGCCGCTGCACAGGGTGTGTGTATATTGGGCAATTCTAGCATTTTTTTTTAAGGTGGTGGGCATAAAAGGGGGGGCATAATTAATACAAAAGGGCCAACCTGATCGTTATCCAATGAGAAGTTTTGAATTGGTGAGTGACAGGGAGGCAGCACCCCAGGAGCCAATCAGCATTCAGCTGGGACTAGTACCCATGTGGCCCCGCCCCTGAACACACCCCTGGTTTATGGGTCAGCTTTGTTTTCTTTCTGGGAGGTAATACCTGAACAAATATACATCCATCGTCTAAATACGTGTCTTCTGGCGGCCCCTGCAACAATTTTGACCTTAGCACGGCGTTTCACATGCCGTAACGATCCACGGAGCTATGAGGGTCTGGGGTCGGTGTTCGTTAGCCAGGTCATCCATCTAACCTGATTGTGCTGCTGCCGGAATGGCTACATGCTGGACCAGGCCAGCCTTGTCTGGGGTCCTAAATAGCCCAGTCCGCTAATGCCTTGTGGCAGCCCAAGCTACATGGACCACTTTGTAGTCTCCCCACCAGCAAGGTGAAAGGTGAGGGTCAGGTGTCGTGCCATTTGGTAGGCAGGCATGGGCAGCAAGGACCCAGCTGGATTAGACCTTGGCAGTGGGTGTTAGCTAACTGGCTTTGGAGACATGGAGCATTACACCTCTGGCTGGGATGGGGCCTTATCTAGTGTCAGTAAGGTGTCAGCTATATATGGTCGGATTTACCCCAAAGTTTAGCGTGGGCCTTGGGACTAGAGCTGTTCATCGGGAGCTGTTCTACTCTGGAGTTCCAGGTGGCATGTGTGGGGATAGTCAAGGCTGAGGGCTGTGCGAGTTTTTCCCGACGGACAAGTTGCAGAGAGGAAAAATCTGTCTGTTGTCTGTGGCTGAATATCGAACAAAAGTTTGGAATACCCAACCTTCTTAGAGAACGTCTGTGAGGTGCTTAAAAGAGTACTGCCTGCGGACTGTGTTGTCCTACTGGAATTCAATTTTCACGTGGAAAATGATGGACAAACTTTGAGGTGTGTCATTGGAAAGAACGGCCTTGCACATCTAAACCTGAGAGAGGACCTGCTGTTGGGCTTCAGTGTAAGCCGTGGAATTTCTTTAACAAAGGCCATGTTTGAATAGAGGGATGTTCATAAGTGTACATTGTACCAGATCGCCAAAAGTCAATGATCGACATTGTAGTTGTGTCACCTGACTTGAGGCCAGAATATCTACAGCTAAGGCAGTTGCAGAGCAGGATTTTGGGAGGAGTGTGGAAAGGTCATGTAGAACGACTTTTGGGTGCCCCAGAGATGTTTTGACTAACCGTTTGATGCCTCTGGTGGGGGAAGCGAGACGTGGGGGTGGGGAAGTTTTAAACAGACAATTTCCTGCTGCATACACACATGGGGGTCAGTGAGAAATTACCCGGATATTGTACTAGGGCACAAGCAGGGAAAAGTCCGTTTGATGTCCGGCACGACTCGGACATTTGCGTTCAGACATACAGCCCCTACAGCTAATGTCTAGAAAAGTTAAGGGTAGCAGTGCATATTTAAAACGGGCACTGGAGAAAGCATATGACCGCATTTCCCAGCATTTACTGTGGGAGGCGCTGCAGGAGTACGCATGTTTGGATCCCGGATGAATGCAGTAAGAGTTTATACTGGATATTGGACAGCACTGCTGGAATCACTCTTCAAGACAGGATGAGGAGCTCTGAGACCTGGAGGACCCTCAAGAGGAGTCAGCTGAGGGGGTTTGGGCCTTTTATAAGGGTGGCACTTGGATGGCTCCCAAGCACGCTGTTCTGGGCACGCCCCACTGGGCAGGCGCCCCGGGGAAAGACCCGGGACTTGCTGAAAGGGTTGTATCTTCCCGCTGGCTTCGGAACATCTAGGGATGCCCCAGAATGAGCAAACATCAGTGCCCATGGACGCCTGCTTTGACCTGTTTGGCATAGGCATACGACCTCCATACCACCTCCATACCCTCTCCATACCCCCTCCATACCACCTCCATACCCCCTCCATACCACCTCCTTGTCATGCGGGGTGTCTGGAGCCTGTCTCAGGCAGCAAAGGATGCAGGGCCGGGGTACACCTTGCACAACACAGGAGCAACATACAAACTCCACAGGCGCAGAGTGGGATTCAAACCCGGAGGTTTGACATGACAGTGGTGCAAATCTAAGTGACACAAACTATGGATGATATTCCAAAAATATCTCCTCGGCACATTTCACCATCTTTGTGGGCTTCTTTATGTTAGCCAGCAAAATGTGACCCAACTTATTTTTTCGGATTTCCTCTTTGACTGAGGCTAGACACTGACAAGTGTTTCCAAGTGAGAAGTCGCCACAAAGGGGATTTGTTTGTGTATTGGGGGAGGTGTGTGCCGGTCCGCGTTTGCCTGCACAGTGTACAATCGGTTATAGTATAAAACAGAAAACCCACAGCGTGTCAGCTGACCCCCCCTGCGAGGAGTTAAATTTAACACTGTCAAGTCCATCACTGGAATACAACATCCAGATAAGAGGGAAGCCATCCAGACTGAACCCGCTGCCTGATTTAATGATGGATATGATATGATTTGGGTTTAATTACAGCGTAATTGAGCTCCATCTGATTAAAGTCTGCGCGTGTCACAATCTTAGAGCAGCTGCAGTGCCCGAGATGATAAACACGTCACCGAAGACAGAGAGGGGAGACGGTGCCGCGGGCATCGGGGGCAGCAACTCATGGGCCCGATATAGTGCTGCAAAAGGAAGACAAATTAAGGCCCCTCCCCACTAATTTCACAAACCAGTGCAGTCGAGGAGCCTTTCAGCTAGTCCTGCAGGCCATGAACTAGGCCACACAGAGTGTGGTGACACAGAACAGTCGATCATTTCGAGGGACTGGCTTGGTTTCCGGTACTCGTCTTATAGTGATTCGACCTCGAGCACCTTGCTCGAGGATCCAGTGGTCCAACCCGCCCGGAATTCACTGACAGCTTTCTGCTCTGCGCTGGGGCGACGCCCTCACCTTGAGCAGGACATGAGCAAATCCATCCAACAATGTCCCTGTCAAGAACATCACCAGGCGCAACGTCACAGCACTGGAAAGTGCCCCACCTCAGAAACCCATATAGTGCTGCCATCTTTCCAAGCCGCAGTTTGTTCGTGAGCTGGTCCTGCTTGTTTGTGTAGTTTCAGATCAGATGGGCTTGGTTCTTCGCCAGCAGTTGGGGGTTGGTGGGGGGGGGGCTGGTTTGAGAAATTATTTTCCTGCTTGACATCTCTCACTGCACCCCCTCCCCACCCAGCCCAGCATTCTGAACACATCTGCGTCCGAAAGCCTTTTACATCCTTAACTGGCTCCATGCTGAAATAGATCCTGTCGATTGTCACCTGTAAATGAAAAGGAATCACCTCTTATTCCCGCACCCCCTGTCAGTTTTAATGCAGATCTGTCCTACCTGAGAAGGTTGTTATTGTGCGAGCAGATGCACTTACTCCACCGAATGCTGCTCCAGCATTTCCCCTCTGGGACTGGAGACATTTCAGACTGTGGTTCGACTCCTCAAACACCATGGTATCTTCTCACCTCAGATAAGCACTAAGCTCCGGCTTAAAATGTTCTCCGTCCCAGCCAGCTTTCTCGCAGCGTTGGACTTCTTCATTGCTAGATGAATACAGAGCCAGGAGCCAAAGTGGACAAACATTATCATTTACACGGTTTGTTGTGTTTTCCGCATTTGTTGTTAATCCTGGGATATAGCAGCTCGACGATTTAAGGCAGATTCTGAAGTTTTTCGTGCTTTTTTTTTCCCGCTTTGGTATGTATTTAGCTGTCCTTCTGCAGGGTCCCTTGGGTTTATTCATTTAGCAGATGCCTTTAAAAAAAAAAAGTGTGGGGAATTACAAGCTGAGGGCACGTAAATGTGCATTCCAGTTCTGCTTCCCTTGTCTCAGTCCCCTGTCCATTTGTTCGGCATTACGGTCCAGACTCTGCACAGCGTCTCCCGTCAACCGCCTTATTGAGAATGGCACACATAGAGATAGGCTTCCTTATTTCTCAGGACCTTATGAAAACCAGGTACCCAGCAATCGCATGAAGTTCTCACGAAAATTCTGCTGAAAATGAAAATGCGCATGTCTTTATGTTGTCGTCGTCGTCCCCCCTCAAATCTGACGGTAAGGTCATGATTTATGCAAATAACCTTTCAAAATTTCTGCTGTTAGATTTTTTTTCCTGATCAGGCTGGTACAGTACTAATTTTGGATCAGGTTCTCTCATTGTACACTTCAGCAAGGTACTTAAACCAAGCTACTAAGTTTATATCTGTGAGTGTCACTAGCTAATACGTCATTTCTTCCAGCATGGTATTGGAACAGAAAACAGTTGTTCAACAGCACCACCTGCAGACGTGTTGTGTAACGGCATTTAAATATCTAGTCCTGTGTTCCTGGTAGCAACAATTGATGTTAGGAAGGGTTTGAATGAGCATGCCGATTCATGGCTTAAGGTTATTTTGGATACCTTTAGTTTGCAGCATATTTTGAGAGAGAATTTTCTCTCCCACCCACCTTTTATTCGTGTTGGAACACGCATGCAAATCTTGATTGCTCAGATCTATAGATATATCACCGGATTCCACTGGGTGCCAAACTCCATGTGAGCATACGGTTGCTGTTTACAGATCCTGGTTCTGACGAGGGAGGGGGGAGCGAAGGTGCCGTCACCACCGGCAGACTCACAAGTGCCATGTTGTTTACCACTGTTATTTCAGCTTGGCATCAACCTCGATCGCATACGGGGGCAGTAAACGCTTGGGAGACCATGCTGGGATCTTCCGCTTGGAAGCAGGTTTAGGTGGAACATCAAGGGGGGGGGCACTTGAGCTGACCTCCTCTCCTCTGTGTGTGTGTCCTTGTGGTCAGACATGCAGAGTCTGGAGAAGATGCTGAAGGAGGCTGTCACCAATGGACAGTCACGCACCCACCGGCCCTGGAAGAAGATCCTCATCGTAGTAGAAGGAGTCTACAGGTACAGCTAAGATCCCACCCCCACCCCCCATGACTAATGCCAAATACATGCTGTCCCACCCCTTTCCCTCAGCCCACGCTAGGAGCTTATGCTGTTTTATGTGCTTCTCAATTAGTGTATATATACATATATATGCACATGCACACACACATATACATACATATATGCATACATACCTACATACACAATATATAATTATGTGTGTGTGTAGATCATGTACATATTACATTGTGGGGACCATTTTTTTCTGTTCCCACAAGGGGAAAACTTGATTTTATAAAAATCTGTGTCTGCAATCAAAAAACTAAAAATGCCAAAAGTCTTGTATTTTGATTGGTCACTTATATAAAGCAGAATTCTCCCTGCTGTGTTGTGTATTGGGATGATCTCTGGATATATGCACATCTAAGATTGCATTCCCTAATATTGTTTCCAAAACATTCTCTGGAGAGAGCAGGTGCTCCCCCTTGTGGCCATTTTACTTTCCCATTTCGTCAGACTAATGTTCCACGCGTCTCCGCAGAGATATTGGCTAAAATGGCCCAGAATCGTACACATGAAGTCATCTCTGTGACAGACTATAATGGAGCTTGGGTGTTTTAACCAGAAACCTGCACACTCCACTTGATTATTAGTTTCACAGAGTGACTAGTTCGCTCTCTGCATTTCAGTTACCGCAAATTCTGGTTCCTTTAAAGTGTCGTTTAGAAGCTGTGCCCTTTGCAAATCCACGCCCGTGTTATCTGGATCAAGGAGATCACCAGAAGCTGGCAGGGTCGCTTGGGGAGGTCTGTCTGGGGGGTGGTGGGGGGGGGGCTTGATGTCGAAAAATTGTGTTCCATGCAACTATTGCCGGTACATCAAAAGGGCTTGATAACGGGGAAGGCTTTGAGGATGAGAGATTGGTTTGTCTCCTTTGAAGTCCAAATTACTGACAGAGAGAGTCTTACTTGTGTCATTCCGCCTGCTACAGGATCAGGTCTAGCAGGTCTGTCTCTGCAAACCTAAGCGGCTATCGGCACGGGCTGCCTGCTTCTCGGCGGGCTAAAGCAGCAAAAGCCCAGGGAGGACGGGACCGTCTGTTGGGCCTTTGAAGATCAGGGGAAATAAAAGCTGATGTAGATGAAACCTCAGCTCTGAGGTCTGATGGAACTGTGTGTATTTTCATCCCCCCCCCTCCCACCTGCCACAAATATCCACCCCCACGCCACCTCCCTCAGCATGGAGGGCTCCATCGTACGCCTGGCAGAGATCGTGGCCCTCAAGAAGAAGTACAAGGCCTACCTGTACCTGGATGAGGCCCACAGCATCGGAGCCGTGGGCCCAACGGGCCGCGGGGTCACCGAGCACTTTGGCGTGGACCCGTCCGACGTCGACGTCATGATGGGCACCTTCACCAAGAGCTTTGGAGCCGCGGGCGGCTACATCGCAGGAAAAAAGGTAGGCCTCCAGCTAGCTTTGACAGGCTGAGTCTCTATGATCCTCCCCTTATTATTGTGACCAAAATCTTATCAATATTTATTCCACACCAAACTGGTCTTCACTCTTCATATTTAAGGAGTGATGGTCAGGTGTTGATGATGAGTCCAGTGTTTCCCAGTCTGGTCCTCAGGTTCCCACAGACAGTCCACGTTTTTGCTACAGGGAGCTGAGAGAGACCAAAAACATAGACCGACTGTGGGTCACTGAGGCCCGGATTGGCGGAAACTGGCCGAGACTGATGATGCCACAATGCAAGTGAAGCTGCTGTTGAGGTCCATTACTCTGCCCACCATTCTCATTCCCGGAACTACAAATCCCATCCTTCCTCCAATCCCCAACAAACCCCTATAGATATCCCACGATGCCGTGCAACGCCAGTGGTGATGAATAGGGCATAACCATGTTGCCCTAACTGACAGCTGTGGATGGTAAACTGAGAGAGGGGGTAAAGGGGTGGAGGGGAAGGGCTTTGATTTTAGTTATTTGTTGCTTAGATGAAATCCCAGAACCCCTCTTTCCATTTTTTTAAACGGATTTACGTAGGTCTTCAAAGGCATCAGCAGATGTTTTCAGAAACCAGTGAATTGTGGTGATTTCTTTTTTATGCTCACCAAAATAAGTACATTAATTCAATAACTAAGATGTAACGAGGTCAATAAAACATAATCAAATCATTCAACTCAACCCTTTGGAAAATAATGGGGGGGGACTTTGAACTCCCATGTGTGCACTTTATTTAGGCTAATGCACTGTGCCCCCCCCCCACCCCACCATTCTCTTCCATCCCCCCTCCCCCTGCTCTTCATTTCATAGCACATATTGAAAATCCCATTCCGTGATGAGGGGTTGATTGTACGTTTCCATTTTGGGGGGGGGGGGGGGGCTGACCATGCAACAGCAGGACAGAACAATAGGGTGGGGTAGCCGGACCTGTGGTGTGATGCCTTCATCTTGGCATGCTCCAGGGTGTGGGCGTATGGAGGGGGGGGGGCATGTTTCGGTAGCCCTCTTATCTCTGAAATCGCAGAGACTCATGCCCCCCCCATAGGAAACCAACTGTGGGCCCTAAGTAGGTGCAGATGCCTGGCCACTTGGGACTTCACCCCCACTTCAAAACCCCAGAGCTGTACATCTTGAGCAGATTCAGGGCTCCCAGCTGGCCTGACCAATAGCTGCGGTTCACAGACAAAGAGTGTGAGAACAGGCCTGTGAACATGTGTCTGACGTGGCCTTGATGGTGCCCCCCCATCTACCACATGGCCGTGAGACACAGGATTACTGTAGGTCCAGCACCGGACTAAGCTGGGTACGTGACAGGCCAACTCAACCAGCCCAAACACCTTCAAATGAAACAACAAACTCAGCTTTAACTGTAAATTCGCTGTGCTTCTGTTAAAGCTCCGTGCTCCAGTGAAAATTACAGCCCATTTGAAGCTTACTGTAAATGACGGCGTTAAGCCTGTAGATGAGTGGTGGTGGAAGACGTTTCGATTGTGCGTTTGCTGGGCTAAATACTCCCCTCTAGTGGTGGTTATGGACTATTGCACTTTCCACAAAGAAGCCGATTCTGGAGTGCTTCAGATTTCATCCAGTCTTTTCTTGTCTTTCTTCATCTTTTCCATGTCGCTCTTCACAGGAGCTGGTGGACTACCTACGGACGTACTCCCACAGCGCGGTCTATGCCTCTGCCATGTCCCCACCCGTGGCCAGGCAGATCATCAGGGCGATGAAGTGCATTATGGGACAGGACGGAACCACAGTGGGTGAGCAAGACATAAATCCCTCAAAAACATGCTGGCTATTGCCAGCTGATCATCTGCGAAGTAGCTCCATGCACGACTGCCGGCAAGTACGACCTGCAGTGATGCGGTCAATCAGTTTCGCATGCTGCAGAGGAGGCCTGCGACCCATGTGACCCCCCCCAGCACAGTAACTCACGGCTTAGCGTGTGCTTAACGCCGCGCACCAGGACTGTGTCCTCAGAAAGCCGTCGTGGCTTAACCAGACTCTACATGAGCGAAGGACTCCAGTCTGAACACTAGTGGAAATTACTCTGTCACATCATACATGAATCATGTAGCATTTTATTTTATTTGGTATGTGGGAACCAGGGGGTCAGCCACGCGACATAAATCTCAGCGCAGGGACGTATTATTCTGACCATGCTCTGCATATCTGAGAAGATTACCAAGACCCCATTTGGGAGAAAGTATTTGTTTATTTGCAGTCCAGATGTTTAAGGATTTTGGAGGCAACAGCGATAAGCATTTGCCTGATGTACAAAATCAATGCTGAAAAATCCAGCTGGCCCACGACGAGTCGGATTAACGTAAAGCTGTTTAATCCAGACTGGGGCAACCGCAAACTGCTGGGTATTAAAATACAATAGATTTAAAAACTGTGTCACAAGCTGGGCTGTGTACAGGGGTGGGATCACAAGGGCACTGATGCCAGCTGAAAGCTGATTGGCCCCCTCCCCTGTCACTCACTGATTCAAAACATATCATTGGCTAATGATAAGGCTATGTATGAATTATGCCCCCTCTGTTGCCCCCCACCTGGCCTGAGAATTAGTGGTCTCCCGTGGAGAAACCGCTGGGGAGTTTTCGGAAGGTCTTGGTGGAACTGCGTTCTCTCCAATCTCCCATAACCCCCACTGTGGCGGGTGGGTCCATATTCCCCCGTCCTGTGTACGCAGGCAGGGTCAGAGGTGATGGTCAGAGATTCAGGCAGAGTGACTTTGGTAAGCGGAGACGGGGCAGGCGGGAGAGTTTGTTTTTCAGCTAGCAGGAGGTAGAGCGTGTCTGAAACAGCAAGAAAAACCAGGAAATGACTGCTGTCTGCAGCCCTCCCCATCCCTTATCCCATGAAAAATAATTTAACAACCTGGCAGTGGAACAATGCGCGTGTAAAATAAACCCAAAAACATGTGATTTAAACTCCACCTTAGTCTGTAGTTGTTGATCAGTAGTTTTTTAAATAACTTTCCTGCTTTGTTTTGATTTCACAGTAACTGACTGACTGCCCAGGGCTGTTTTCTCCCTCCATAATGTGATAGGTGTGTCTTTTTTTGGTGCTGCGTTTAGGGCCTTTGCGTGTTTCTGCGTAAGGCTGTTGAAATAGCTGTCAGTGTGTTCCCAGGTAATCAGAGGGAAATACTGCCCAGTATCCAAGGGCCTCCGGTGCCGGGGGGGGGGCGGCGCTGGCCGCCCGCCCTCCTGGCATCATCTAGCGCCGCGATCCGGCCTCAGATCCAGGCGAGGCTCTGGGGGTCCGGTCGGGAAAAGCATGAAGCCGAATTTGCTAACGGATCCGTACATGATAATGAGGCTTATAGACCCATTAGCTGTGCCTCTCTAACTCCTGGGAAACAGTCTGGGACGTGGGAGGTGAGGTCATTTCCTAGCCCCC